GCACATTTGGAAGATTTTATTTGTGTTAAACTTTAAACTGTAGTTGCTTTCCAATATTTTATCTTGTTCTTTGTTCTACTTTTATAATCATTCAACTTTATTAATTTTATATAAAAAGAAGTTTTCACTTCCTTGTACATAAGGAAATATATTCTGAGAAAATTTTTCCCATAATAAATTTTTAAACATTGTTGTAAAGAAACTTTTATATTTGTTTCAATAAACTGTTTTATGTTTACTTATTTAATATAAGGATCAAGAAGTAATTCCAGATATGAATGTAATGTATTGCACTCTTTTATAAACGTTACATTATAATTGGACATTACATAAATTATTAAAAAATGCTTTGTGTTGAGTTTAAAGTTAGATAAATATTAATCAATACAATCACATTGCATTTTGACACAATGATATGCAGCTTTCATACTTTTGTCTTCTATATTTTTTCACTGACATTATTATGTAAGGTAACATGGAAATTTTGATTTACAATTATGTTTCATTATTCATATTATTTGCATATTTATTTGTAAACCATAGGTTTGGAAGTTTTCTTAAATCTCAGTGCTTCCCAGCTTACTAGTTCATATGTATCCAATATTGAAGTACAGTGGAACCTCAGTATACGACCTTAATCTGTTCCTGATGTTTGGACTTATACTGAATAGAACGTATACCAAACCAACCTTTCTCATAAGAAGTAATGTAAAAATGATTAATCCGTTCTCATGTAATAAAAAAGAAAAAAAATGGCTGGCTTTAAACACCTCGTTTTCCTGGCTAGTTCTTGCTTGATTTTTCATGAGATCAGCATGTATCTTTTTAGCTTTCTCACAAATAATTGCTTCTGATATGATGTTGCCAGAACACTGTTTTTCAGTTATCCAAGCAAAAGCAATTTCTCAACGTGATCTAATGTCTTCGATCTCTGTTTAGAAATTGATTTAACTCCTTTCGCAACATTTATCCGATTTAATAATGTCTTTATTTTTCACGATTGTCAATATCTTCGTTCTCAGAATACAGTATGCAACAGTTAAATCTCGAACAAGCATGCCACCTTCATATTTCTCAACAATCTCTTTTTTCAGTTCCATTGTGATTCTAGTCATTTTTTTTAGTTTTCTGTTGCTTTTCATTTGTCTTTTTGCAATTCGTGATTAATAAAAATAATAAAACTTTACTTACAAATTAAAATCAGAAGAAATTTAACAAAGTTATAAACCGTGGCACCGTGAACGTCTAGTCTGGTCTAGTACACCGACAGTGCTACTTGTTCATAGATGGCGCATATAATTGAATTAAGTCGTATACCAAGCAAAATTTGTTTCATCCAAACAGGATGTATTCTAAAGCAGACGTATACCGAGGTACCACTGTATAACCATGTCTATTTACCACAAACATTCCTCTTTTCATTCCTGCTAACTCAGTGGATCCTTGGCCATTTAAGGTAGCGACATTCTGGGCCCTAGTCTCAAGGGCTTACTCCCATTGCTCGGAAACTTCCAATATCCACAACAAACTGAAACGTCAAGTGTATAGCATCTGCACACGGGTACCAACAATCCGTAACAGGCTCACTGTCAACCAGCTATCTACGATAACTACCACCAACATGAGGGTTAATAATGCAGNAATTAAAATCAGAAGAAATTTAACAAAGTTATAAACTGTGGCACCGCGAACATCTAGTCTGGTCTAGTACACCGATAGTGCTACTTGTTCATAGATGGCGTGTATAATTGAATTAAGTCATATTCTGAGCAAAATTTGTTTCGTCCAAACAAGACGTATTCCGAATTGGATGAATTCTAAAGCAGACGTATACCGAGGTACTGTACCACTGTATATTGCATTCCATAAAAATTATAAATAAATGATTATTCATCATTAATACATTTTTTGTGAATGTAAAATTATAAAATTTTATGAATTTGTAAATTTTATATGAAATAGGAATATGTCACTAATATTTATACAGATAACTGTAGTCAGAAAAATATGTTAACATATCTAACATAGGCCACAGTCTAAATTGTTGAAGAATAACTGGTTGTCTTTAGTTCAGGCATGGCCAACATACGGCCCGCAGGCCAGATCTGACCCATCTAATGAATTTATGTGGTCTGCAATCAATCTTTCAATATTAGTTACTGAAGTCCAAATAGCTCTATGAAAAATTCTGACGTCAAAAAAAGGTCAACAACTCACTGTGCATTTAGAGTTAACCCTCCATTACAAATCTCGTAAGTACAGCGTAAAGTGTTGATAAAGCATAATAATGTGAAAAATGTATCTGTAATCTCTATGTACAATTTAGTTTCTAAGGGGTGACGCCGCAATGAGATCTCGCACAACCTCAAAATCTTCCTAGAGCAGCCTCTGGTTAGGCCCGTGGAAAAAGTTTTCTTTCCAATTCGGCCCGGGGACAAAAATTGTTGGCCACCTCTGCTTTAGTTCATATTGACATTTTACTATGGTTTCATGTTATTTCAGTGTCTTTGCACCTGTTTTGTCTTTGTCCTATTTCATTCTGGAATGCATGAGTTTTGCTTTCTGTCTAGTAACATTTAAGCTACTTAAAATAGGTTTGATTGTAAGTTCTGTTCAGAAAACAAGGTTGAAAGCTATATGAACAGTAAGAAGGAAAAGATAGCCCTATGCCTTTAGCTGCACTAACCAGCTATGACTGAGTAAGGAACTGTTGTTATTGGAATATTGATTAAAGGATTTTCTTCTGTCAAAATATTTTTTCCCCTGATCAAGTAAAGATTAATCTTATTTGTTAAATTTTATACCTTGTGAATAATTATATAACTGTCAATACTACTGTAACTGTAGAAAGTAGCTAGTTATAAAGATTACACCAAAGATCTCTAAGAACTTTTTGTCTTTTCTTTTTTGAAAGTATTTTATTTAGACTTTGCATGACTACATAAAAATTTTTTTAGATTCAATTCTTTGAATTGTCATTTCAATAACTTTCTGCTACAGAACTGACAATTCCAATGTAAAGAAACTTAAAAATAACAAAACCGATAAGCAGTTTTGAGTCTAAATGTTCATTTTTTTAACCTATAATAAAAAATTATACAGCATTTTATTATTATTTCAATTAGATGCTGTTATTAAAATATATTAAAGAACTGAAATTAAAAATTTTATAATAATCACCAGTAATAGCAATGATAGTAACAACAATATCTAGATTCAGTTTTTTTTATTAAAGACATTCTGATAAAATTAGTCTGATAAACAAAATATGAATATCTACAGTATTAAATATGACTATAATAAATAAATTAAAACAACTTTTTAATATATATTAAGATATGAATTATTGGACAGGTGTATTAAATTATTTTAAACTTAAAATATTGGTCTAAATAGTTTACAAACTTGAATTAATTTCATTAAATAATTTTGCCTGTTGTAATGCATCAAAACCTAACTTTTCTATATATTAAAAATATCCCTTTTGTGATAAGAAAAAGCAAATGTTTTCTCTAGAATGGAAACAAAATGTAAAAGCTAAGTTGTTTTCTACATTAAATAAAAAATATTAAAGAGATGTTTAAACTCCATCTATGATGTTTAGTGAATAATTAGTTATGTCACAAGAATTGTTTAATTGCATATATTTTGAATGGGACCAATTACATATTTGAGCACATCTATTGAATGCAATTAACATTCAAATTGTGTAAAAAAGCTAGTTTTTGATAGTAATAGTTTCTCTTGTATCAAATGAATATTTGCTGCAAATTATTTTAACCAAATATAAACAATTCATTTCAAAACATTTTCTCTTGTAAAAATCACACACATATATTGTTTTTTTCAGATACTCATAGCTTATTTCACAATGCAATTGTTTGACAAAAATTTATAATATTCTGTTTTCTACATACTGTATTTCTTACAAGTTATTCAATAACAAGAATTCAAATTTGAGAATTTCATTCTTTTATAAATTCAAAATAAGAATTTTATCATTAGCCAATCTAAAAAGTTCTACCAAATATATGAGAATAATAAAATCTGGAATGTAAGAAATGAGTCTATGCTAATTAATGCCAGAGCAATGCACTACAAAATTCACGAAAAATGATTTGACAAAGAATAAGAAATTTAACTTCATTACTGTAATGACATAGCAGTCATTTGAGGTCATCGACATATATTTTCAACTTTATACACTTTCCTTCATTTATTATACAAAACTTCCATCGATTTCTCTGTTGCGACATATATACAAAATATGAATTTATACGTATTTCTTTTCCAAGCATACATTTACATCTCATACAAGTAACAAGTTTGTTACTTATACAATTTTGATCGTCATTAATTTTATTCGACCTACCGTACACTCACACACATACGTTATATTTATACATACTAAGTGGAGCATACAAAACCTATAACATATATCATAAAAATCTTGACGTAAATATTTTAAAATTTCAAAATCCACAAAAATTTGGTAATTTCATGCTAACAAAAGAATTGACTTAATCACTGTCTTATCACATATACTGCATTATCACTTCCTGATTTCACAAATGAATAATTAAAATTACTTATTTATGACGAAATTGAAATTGATTATTTTAAAAATGCCTTTAGTTCACGTGATATTCCTGTTTACAATAAAGACGTACAGGTAACAGCTGATTAATCATCATAATCATCATCATCAAATACAAAATTTAGATTTAAAAAATAAAATAAAAATTGACAATAATACGAAATAAACAGCATTGCAGGGAAAAAATTAAATTGCGTTTAAATCGTTAAACAAGTAAAAAAAACAAACACAATGAAAACATTAATTAAAATGAGGATAAACTCGCGGCTTTTTTTCTTCTAATGATTACGTACTTCTGAAAGATCGTCTTAAAAATATATCTTTATATATAGATATATATACAAATGCCATTCTGTATTACTTAACATAAGTGACGTAAATATTTATAAAACGTTTCACTCACCCGGCTTATAAAAAATCCTTGTGATTATGCTATCGCTCTATATTTCAAAAGTAATTGTAATCAGATATAGAGCTTTGTGTCACACCATCCGTTGCCATGGGCAATCGTAAAAGCTGCACACTGGCGACATCTTTTAAAATATGTAATTTTTTTTTTTTTTATATTTATCAAATATAAATTTTTTACTCATTAAATTTTCTAATAATGTAAAATAATCTAAGAAATTTATTTAGATATTAAAAAATAATAATAATCCTTATCGTGATTATTTTAGATTTAAAACAAAAAAAATAAAACAACCATAACTAAAGGTTCGACTTGATTGGATAGAAACAAATAAAATGTTGCACAAAAAAATAATTATAATTTTTTATAAAAACAAATCAAAAGCTTAATGTAATTTGATATGATATATAATACCGTATTTATCAAAACACGTAATTCTATATGTTATTGTTATAGAGAACGTAGAATGTTTATATAATGATCTACGAAACAATGTATAAATACTCAATAAATGTAATTCTATGTAATTTTATAAATAATTACGATCTTACTTTTATAAATATTATTTTTTCTTTTGTTTTATATCATTATTTTCATGTATATGAATATTTAACAAAGGTTCTATCAACAAAGGTGTATTTTGAATGATTCATTAATTAGAAAATGTTTTGAAGATATTTTATCAATTCAAATTTTAAAAATAACTTTAGTTACATATATAAATATAAATAGCGGTACTTACAAATATCAGCGTGCATTTTCCCAATTATATGTATTGTATATTTAATACTTCTTTTAAAATTATTGACAATGTTTCTTAATTAGGCTGTTTTAATAATATAAATTCAATGATTTTTTTACTTGGAAGCTTTTACAGGTATGGCCGCTACCCCCTTAATAACTTCCGAATCGATGATTCGATTTTCCTGAAAATTTCTAGAAATGTGTCCATCTAATATATAAACCTCCATACAAAATTTGAGATTTCGACAAAAGATAACAGGCGATATTAAGCTTCAGTATGGGTGAAAAAATCATGCTCCCATACACACTAATATCCGTATATACAGGAACAAACCCGAACTTTATTGCATTTGTCAATCTTTCAACGTCCCGAGTCCAAGAATCAAAACCTTGGAAGAGTCATTTTTTGACCGATTGCTATACTTTCCCTCTGTTTTACAGGGTGTTGAAAAAAAAGTGGAATAAGCAAAAAGCAAAAAAACGTAAACCATATTTGCAAATTCGCGATAGTTACCAAAGTATTCGAGGTTAAAGTCACAAATTTGAACCCACTTTTCTCAGGAACTACGTTGTAGTTATCGCTTATCGCTATTTAAACTATCATTTTAAAGATAAGCATTTATTGAACCGAAAGTTTTAAAACAAGAAAAAAATGTTTCCATTTTATTTCGCACAAAACTTACTGTAAAAAAAGGACGTCTCCAGGTTATTTTAGAATCTCAATGTCGCTAATTGGGGAATAACCGAAACGACAAACTTTCTGTGATTGCATTTCAATCTGTCATTCCAGTTTCAGTCGTAGATCAGCAGTTGGCAAGTCTGTAACGACGGTCCATTTTAGCGTTCTTTGGCTAAACTTTACACTCGTATATTTCGGCAACTATCGCGAATATGCAAATATGTTAATCTACATTTTTACTTTTTTTTTGTGAGTTTTATTACGCATTTCCAGAAAGAACACATTTTTGCAACCCTGTATAACAACCGGAAAAGTGATAAATGACCAGAAATGGATAACAAAGCAGACTTTGAACATCTGCTTTGTTAATTAACCATCTATCAATATTTACACGCTACACGGTAATATATCGGAGAACGACTGCGCTTAGAGCCTTTACAAACCAAATCTAATGGACTCAATGGATAATACTGTATTGTTGACTTTACAGAGTTTGCTTTGTTTATCTATATTCAGGCGCACTTACCGAGCAAACCGAATAGTTATGTAACAATCTTCCATTTCGGATAACTTTGTTAATTAATCTGATAACTACGGTATTAATGCCAAGCACGTTACAGAAACAAATTATCTCGGACAACTAAACAACAATAATTACAATGTTAACGAATTAAACTTTATCATAAGTAAAACGAATTTTCTTTCCAATAAATGGTATAAATACAACCCTGAATAAGATGGTTGGGACTTTATCAGAATTTTTAAACTTTTTCTGCCCTGTGGGCACTAAGAGGGCCTATTTCAGCAAGCCCATTATGGGTTCGGCCAGGCCCACAATGAGGCAGCCGGGTGGTGAGGGACGGGGCCCGACACATCAGAACAAACAACCACCTGAAAAATTCCTGGAGATTTTTTGACCGTCTAGATTCAATCCTGGATCCCAGAGCGGTAGGCTGCCACCTTGACCGCTCAGCCATCCGCCCTTATCAAAGTTATTATTATTTATTTTATTGCCGTACAAAAGTACAGGCCCGGTACCGCAGAGCACAACCGGTGATTCGAGTAAAAAAGTCAAAGGAGCCGATGGTCTACGCGTAACTCTTCGCGACATATAACCCCTCAAAATCAGCCAAAAAACACTTGATGGGTTTAACGCGCCCTGGAAGTTGTCAGTACAAAGGCGTTTTTCGTGTATTACTGTATTAGCTTTTAGCTGTTTCAAGTAAAACGAAAAACAATTAATTTTCATATTTCAATATATACTCAGATTCTTTAAATACTATGACACACACCTTATGTGTGTGTGAGTCATAGTTAATTTTTATCATTATTCTGAGAAACAGTTAGGGGTTACGTGTCATATCTCGAGTATGGTCGGACTTAATAACGAGTAAAATCTTCGTTAATATTTATAATGTTTTAAAAATAAAATCTCATACGAGATAGCGTCATACACAATTTCTAACTCTTGCCGGTAAAGTTACACAACTCGTTGCTGGATTTTTATACTGTACTTAGAAACAGAGTTTGGCATTATCTCCAAGTATGTGGAAACTAACACGAGTTTGTAAAATCAGTAAGAAATTTTCTATTGCTCATTTCAGTTAATCCTAGTATGTATTTTACATGCTCTCACTGATCATATAACACAGATTAACTGACATAGCCATACTGAATGTTAAAAATCAGTGAGAGTGAAGGTTACTACTGTGTTACAACCAGTGTGGTTGTAACACAGTAGTAAAACAAATCAGCGTCTGACTTCAACTTTGACCTTTCCTTTTTTTAAAATGTCACACTGTGATTCCTTTTATAAGAGACATCACTGGGTATCAGATATATTGATATTTTAATCTAAAATTTCTCTATAAAAAAGCTATATTAAAATTTATGATGAAAATCAAAAAACGAATATAACTTGGAAAAACTTTCGAGTACATTTTAATTAGCCAAAAAAAATTCCACTTTTATTAATTAAGTATCAAAAATTGATTTAAATTTGATAATTTTTAAAGAAAAATAATTAAATTCAAATGCAAAAAACAACGATTTGATGAATGACGTAATAAATTGGCCCATAAAAATGATAAAATAGTTTCTCCTGCTCCAGCTACTATGAGAATAGGTAATTCCATATTGATGCTTGACTAAATTCAAATATACATTAGAATTTTGGAAAATGTCAATCATCTTAAAGTTAAACTGATGCGTACAATCGTGCCCTAAGAAATTCAACCAGCGAATAATAAGCTGGAACAATCCTATTAATTACATTTTGCAGTTTTCTCCCCCTCTTTTAGTTTGTTGCAGTTAGATTCTGATCTTGGTTTTATTTTTTTCATTGTTCCTCTATCGACTGTTTTAAGACCAAATTATGTTTTAGAAGCCAATTATAAATAGTCATAAATAACTTGCAACCAATAGAAAGACAATAAAAAAATTAGTCAAATTGATCTAAAACAATTGATGTCAAAATATAAACATCTGAGATGTTAAAAAACACATTGTACGAAGTAAAAATTATGGCACTTGATTCATTTCAAGTGCTATAATTAAAATGAAAGTCAAATTTTTTCTTGAAGTTTCTTTTAGTAAACATAAGCTTGTCGCTTCCAAGCGATGCCATAAGCTTTTTATTATTCTCTCTGCACTTCGCGTTCTTACTTTAGTAACATAGTGAAGCTTTCGAGAGCCAATTTAAAAGACCTTTTGTTTTTATCACATCGAAAGCTGGCCAGACGACTGAGTGGTAGCATTCCAGACTGCCGTCATGAAGGATCAGGATCGAATCTCGGTCGCAATACCTATAAGACCGGTGGATTCCACGTGGAATCCACCGGTGAATCGTTCTCCATCCTACCTCCATACTGAACCAGTGGCTAGGAAAATTTGATCCCTAAACACTGGTAATCTGCTCTTGGACTGATGGACTACGTCTTGAAGTTTTCCGAGTTTTCTTCACGTCGATAACGTTCGAATAGGGACCAGTTACCCTTAAAAGACCTTCCGGAAGGGGAATTCCTCGATTGGTGGATCGCCATGGTGTTGCGTGCCAGTATATAAAAGTAATCAATCAATACACTAACCTATTGAAAAAATAATTAGCTTTTTGAATGGCTCATACGCTACTCAGTTTCAATTTTTTCTCGTAGCTTATAAGCTAAAAGAAAAAATTAATTAACGAGCAATTATTTATTGTGGCATCGTTGCAATGCCGGGCTGCAATTTTTAATCATATTTTAATTTATTTAACCTAAAATATATGTTCTTCACCTCAAATTAGTAATGGCTTGCCCCTGCACATCATACTTTTCCTCTAACAATAGAGTCGTGCCGGTCATCTAGTAACTACTTCCAGGGGAAATTTTGAATTGAAATAACGTGACTTCCGGTTTACATGGGAAGTTTATGTATAGTTAATCTTGCCACTAAGGTTTACATATCTGGTCTCGTCTTTTATCTATCTGACTCCATTCTTGAGATTAAGGAAAGTCGGACAGAAGTGGGAATTCGTAGTTCACATTTTACAATTTTTTTTCAAATTGCAGTCCAATAATACAATATAAAGGTTAAGATATTTTTTACAAATGCAAAGTCAGTCAAGAATTGCGCGATGTTTCGTAATTTTTGGTTGGATAATAGCAGAAACATACCTACACTGGTTTACGTTATATAGAGGGTAGAGCTATCTAGATGTGAATATATTCGTTTAAGTCGTTAAAAGCTATTTTCTGAAAGTATAGAGTTGTCGCGTGCAATGAGCACAACAGTTTGGTGTGAAACGACCTTTATAAATGAATATCTATTTGATATAAAAATTTACGAAGTGTCCGTTATCTAAATTTCTTTACATACTAATTAAAAAGTATTTTTCGTAGTTCACATTTTACCAATACAGTAGAGTCCCGAAAACTCGGCACTCGATAACCCGGCAGTCCGTATAACTCGGCCACACCCTGGCAGGCCAAAAATCCCTAGTTAATCCTAGTTAAAGTTGTCTATAATTTCATTATAGACAACTTTATGTTTCATAAAATATTTTTTGAGGTCTGTCTTAGCAGGTAAATTAATGTACACTATGTATTCATTAATTTTCATTTTCATGTAGTAAAGGCTCTATGCCTTCATAAAGTACGTACTTTTCCTTTGTTACGTACTTTTCCTTTGTTTAAGGGTATTTGGGCAGTTTATTCTCTGTTGTATTCTCAAGCAAACAATACATACAAGTACAGTATTTTCTGAGTATGCCACACTCATACTTTTTCTTTTTAACCCCATTCCCGATAACCCGGCACTTTCAGAAACTCGGCCACCCTTCGGTCCACATTAGGACGAGTTTTTGAGACTCTACTGTAGTAAAATTCGATTTTGAATTGACATTTGAAAAAACCACTGTTGTGGAATCGGAGTCGATAAAATTCTTTCGACTCCGATTCCACAACAGTGGTTACAACCATAAATTAGTAAAAACAAATGGGGTGCGAATTATTCGATTAAATACAGTATATATTTGACTTCAGTGTTATATGACTAATTATTGTGAGAAGCATACAAAATTTTATAAACTGAAGTAAAATGTTACTTAGAGTGAATATGGAAATTTTTTTTATTATAACATTCGTTTTCGTCTTCAGCATTAACACAAACAAAATTGATTATTTATAAATCAATTCTTAGTTTTAAAAATTTGCAATAGCGGCTAATATTGAAAGCTGTTTTTTGTAAATCTGTTTTTGAAGTATTAATCACGTCTTATCAAATAATCCCCAGAAATTTTTCGGGGGTGGTCCGTTCGGATATGTCGGGCCGAACTCATAATGGGCATGCAAAAATGGCCCTCTTAATGCCTACAGAGCAGAGTTATTTAAGATGTGATTTTTTTTTATATATATTATTTAATACTTATTTAAATGAGATGCAAGAAACAAAAATTTAAAAACAAATATTTTTTATCAATAAAAAGTTAAATCATAAAGTAAATAATTATACATTTTCCAATTTTCGATCAAGAATATAAATTTCCAACAAAATTTCTCCAAAAACTCCTCTTCCCATTTTCTTCTTTTTACTGTTTCCACCTCGTGGGCAGTAACAGGATCCTTTTCCGATCCATTGCAGATTCAGCCAGGACCACACAATGGAATGGACAAGTGATGAGAAACGAGGCCCAACATTTCTGAGACAGACCAAAATTTTCTGGGATTTATTCAGTCGTCCGGATTCGAATCCGGGAACCCAGAGCGGTAGGCCGACTCAACTCCATTCGATTGGAGAAAAATCCCATTTTGAGAAAAAGCGAAACTAGTAACTTATCTCCCTCCATCCTACATTTCGAATAAATTGTGAGCGACAGTTTCGGCGAAATTCTGTGATGTTGTACAGAAAACTAAATTTTGCATAAAATTAAATAGTTGTTATTCCCAGATCTTTCGAATAACAGGCCTTGTTTGATGACCTGTGATTAAAACTTCAATTTCAGAACACATTTATTTCATATTTACGACTAAAGTTTGCACTTTCAGTTACATTACCGTTAATTTGCTATATCTTAATTGCTATTATTGAACAGTGGTAGTTCTAGGAGCAAACCTAAAAGGGAGATTTTTAATTCGCATAATAAAAATATTGCTTATTTTTATTTTAAGTAATTACCAAAGCAATGAAACTAAGCTTACGATATAAAAATGTAACGGAATTGAAAAGCAACGATAGCCATATTGAAATGCAGTAGACTCTTGATAACTCTAAGGGGAAGGAACAGAAAAATTTTAGAGTTAATAATAGTTTCTGTAAATCGAAAGTTTATTTTAAATGAAATTGTTTGTGGAATACAGCAACTACCACTTTGGTGGTCTACCAAGGGAAACCCCTCCCGGGTGGTACCCGGCCTGGTAGGCCATAATGAGATCGTAAATGTCACATTATTATTTATAAATCTGTCAAAAACAAGCAGATGTAGAAAGTTTTCTGTTTTGTTACTTCGTAATTAAAAGATACGTAAATTTGGAAAATTTATCAGATGGCCCATGGTTTATTTATCACCAGATAAATGAAGCATAAATGTAATTTGTTCCAACCATAGACAGATCTAGACAGGTGATTGGCCTGTAAGTTTAATTGCTAACAGGAACCTCATTATTTCTTTAAAGTAACACTTTTATTTTAACACATTTATCATTATTTTCCAATTTTGTTACATTTTTGTTATTTAATGTTATATAAATCATTGAGACAATAATCTTTCATATATTTTATTACATAAATTAAAGTTACAAATGAAGATTTGTTCTTGAATCTTACTTGGCTTGAGACTTTGGTCAATTCCATAATCTTTATCATCAAAAATGTATAAATCTGATCATTCTCAAGGCATTCTTTCTAAACACTTGTATTTGTTGTAAGAAATGACATCAAGTTCAAACCAATTGTATTGCCATGTGACTACACGTGTAACAAGTTGACGTCACCATAACTTCAGAAGTGAATATACCAAACATATCAAAATACACTCATTGACATAAAAAGTCACACACCAAAAACAAGACATTGGTATTCAATGAAACATTATTAGTAATTACAATGATAATAAGTGATTACAATAGCATAGGAACAATTTCCTGTGGAACAACAGTACAATTTAAAGAAATTTTTAGCATCTTGTAGGCCTGTCTCTTGTCTCTGTATACACATGGCTATACGGTTGAGCATGAAAGCATATATGCTATCTTGCAACAGATCTGCCACAGACTTTGCAACTGCCACTCCAAAACCCATCACATTCCTAGGTGGCCAAAGCTGTTAACTCATCTAGTCCCAAAAATACTTAATGAACAACCAATCTGATGACTGGGAAGGCCAAGCAAGTATGGCAACATGACAGATTAATGTAAAATCCTAGCTATGATTGACCAAGTATTATCTTGCTTGAAAGTGGGTGTTTTCAGCCTTGCAATTAATGGCAATACAAGAGGGTACAGGATTTCCTAAACTTTATACTGTGTGCTGACAATATCTCTCACTACTACTATGGGTACTATCATATAAGATGGCTCCTTGGACCAGTATGCTAGCTATGGAGCAGTGAGCTACTCAACACTAAAAGGTGAGATTGAAGTGATCACAATTGCATCCATTTCCAAAGAGAACCAAGATTGTTTGGCTTTGATTAAACAAGAACTTAAGATTCATTACTAGATAATACTCTGCCAGTTTATAGCAGACTATACTTATCTGTCATAGTACCATTGAAAACAAAACTGATGATGTTAGTTGCTAATGGAAAGACTCAGAGGTTGCTGTGCATGTAAATTTGTCTATACTAGTCACCTACCAATAGTATGGGAAGAGACAATATTCTGTAGCAAGGCTTTCACCTGTTTCTGGTTAGTGGACATAGATGTCATTGCATTTATGCTTGTTTCATAATTAGATGATCAGCTGTCCCGGTAGTCTGTCTGACATGTTGACAGTCACTTTCTATCAGTCCAGAACAGTCCAGTTAGTAGATAATTCAGCAAAATGGTTTTCATACTTTTCTCAGTCTGATAACAGTCTTTCTCAAACTCAATCAGCTTGCATAAGGTCTTTAATTGTATTGTACAGGAATATCTAGTGTTTAAAGACCTCCAAAAAAACAGATACACAAAAATCCTAAAGACAGTGAGCCTCTGTTAGCCTTTTTATAGGATACTGGGATAACAATTATAAGGTATTCTGGTGGCATTACCTAGCAAGTAACTGCAATCATTTGCATATCTGTCTAAGACATAGATGTTAGACTAGCAAATAATTGAACAATTCTATCTGGGTGCATAAATTTTTTGTCAATGAATGTATAAATGTATATGCTTGAACTTAAGATTAATTGAAATGAAAACAAACCTATAAAACAGTGATTCCCAAACTTTTTCAAGCCACTACTCTCTTGGTTCCATAAACTTATACCCAATATCACTTTCTCTTGTGTGAGAAAGACAAATATTCTTAGAAAAACTTTTCTATGAACCTCACTCTTTGCCGTACATTGTTCTCCACATCTGGAAACCATTAAATGCAATGTTTCATCTTACCCATTTTAACAGAGAAAAGGGAAGGGTTGTCAGTCATCCCAACCTTACCTATGGTAACAATTCAGTACTCTGCCTCCAGTGCCCCATCACCCACTTGCTTCGCTCACTGCCTACAGGGGGGTAGCACTCACTTTGGGAATTACTGCTATAAAATATGTTAAAATGAATAATTTTAAAAACAGTACAATACTTTTCATACTTTTCAAAATTATTCATTTACAATTTTCTATTTTTGTAATATAAAAAAAATTTACAAAGTAAAAAGAAACTAAAGCTCTTAAATTCTAATAATATGCATCATGTTTTTTTGTTATGAATTTTGTTTGCTTGAAGATTGCCTTTTGAATGGAAGACAATAGATTGAGGTATTTCCTTATATCAGTATTGACATATAATTTTTGTTAAGACAATATATTTAAAGCTGTTATCATCATCGTGTATTATAATGCTTGATGATGAACCAAGTTAAAAATCATTGATAGTGATAATAGTTTAATATTTTTTTATTATATTTTATTTAATTTACACTGTAATAACAATTAATTTCGTGCCATTATTAAGTCAATATAAGAACAAGGTAAAAGATCATCTTTCCTCACTCCTAATTTTTCCATCAATGAAAATGCAACATTTTGTCCAAATTCTGTATTTTGTCCTTCTGAAAGCACTACCTAAAATTTTATAAATTTCAATTATAAATTTATTTTCTAATATCTGGAAAATAAAATAATCAATTACATAAATATAGGGTACTTCATAAAAATGTTAACACATGAGTTATAATTCATTTGCTTTCATTAAAAACATTAAATGTTTTGTTTTTTCAATTTCAAACAGTTTCTACTTATTTATCATCATGATCAATACACACTTGAAATCTTTTCCAGGCAATCCTAGAACCTAAAGACCTAATTTTTGTATTAAGGTTAATACATTTTCTTGAAGTATCCTATATAAAAGTGGTTACATATGATACATAGAACTTTCTAAATTATATTATTCTTTCTCTGTATGTAGCATTTTCATAACTTTTTATTCATTTTCTTCACTCATCTTGTAGAAATGTAAATGTTTTTAAAATTAAATTAATATAAAAACAACATTTTATATATAACTCCAGAAATATAAATAATAAAAAAATATGTAAATTTTAAATGTTTCTTAAACTAATTTTGAAATAAATTCAACTATGTATACATGTAAATTATATAAAATTTACTCTTGTATGATGTGTACAAATTTGAACTATATAATAAACTGTAGAGTTAAAATTAAAGTTTATATGCTGCCAAAAATGTTCCTAAAAGGACACAACATCCTTTACTCCAACAGACCTGTTTTTGTAAACTACTGTTGGAATTCAGAGACTTCAATCCTTCCTGCAGCTAAACCTTTGCTGATACTATTATTATATAAACTATAGGGTGTTTCACAATGTTTTGACAATTTCAAAGTTGAATAACTCACAAAATAATCACTAAAAAAGTTGTTACTTGTGTAAAAGTACATTTTACACAAAGTACAAAATTTATTCAATTTTACTTATAAAATACTACATCAGACAAATGAAAACCGTTTGCAGCTACACAAAACTTGAGTCGTTTCACCCAGCTTTTGAACACATTTTTTCATAACTGTTGGAGGAATTCTGGAAATTTCATCTCAAATTCATTCTCTTAATTGTTCCAAGTTTCTTGGCCAGTCAGAGTACACTCTCACCTTCAAATAACTCCATGGGTAAAAGTCTGGCAGGGTTAAATCAGGCAAGCGAGGTGGCCATTCGAAACGAGTGCATTTGGAAATTATGGATGTTCTCAAGAGTTCATACGGTCTTCCTGCAGCCAGTTGACTTTTGATTCAATGCACTGGCAGTTTCACGGAAGTTTTTTACCCAATTCAATATTGTTCCATGAGCAGGAACTGGATATCACGGCTGAATCTTAAAATGTTTACGAAATTCACGTTACATGCGCATGACAGATTCGATGACATGAAAATAGCACTCTACCGTGAATGCATGATGTTGCTTTAACCAGTATGCCATGATACTACATAGTAACCTATATGAGATGAAAGTTGACAGTCTGCACTACTAATAGAGGGTGCCACCATTGCTGTCTCTCGGTTTTAATGTGAGTTATTCAACTTTGAAATCGTCAAAACATTGTGAAACACCCTGTACAAGCACATCTATATACCTTTGTGAAAATTTATATAAAAATTGTATATTTATAACCAAAATTAAGGCAGAAATGTAGTTGAAAGAAGAATCAAAGTCTGTAGATTCCAACAATAGTCTATAAAGAGATAAAAGATATGTTGAAGTAAGGATTACTTTGTCATTTAGGAACTTTTTTGTCAATATGAAAAATTGTAGAAATAAAATTGAAGTTATTATACAATATTTAAATAACTTTTTGACAAAAGTCAAGTTTACAATTTTTAACTGTTTACTATTACATAATCTGAACTATATTTTTCAATAACAGAGCATTGTTTATACATCTCCCAGGAAACCACAGATAAAAAAAAACATGTTTAACTGAAAAGATACAGAAATTTAAGTCAAGATGTACCAGAAGATGGCAGAAATAATAGATTTTAATGATAAAATGCATTCACTTAATGAATATTTTAACATCTGCTTTTTATATTTTCATTATAAAACTAGCAATACCTTTTTATTGATCATCATTTATATATATATGTTACTGCTAGAGTTCGAAAGCTGTTAATGTGTACATTAACTAGCTAATCTGCAGATTAAGTTGGGTGATCCGTTAAAGCTGCGAAAATTATTCCATTTCTCAAATTACCTAGGTAATCTGCAGATTAACTAGGGTGATCCGTTAAAGCTGCGAAAATTATTCCATTTCTCAAATTACCTAGGTAATGTGCAGAGTATCTAGGTAATCTGCACATTACCTACTAGGCACTCGGTAAAGTGAAAATAATATTTTTGCTAGAACAACAGCAACATTTCTGTACGCTTAAATTAACATAATGTTATTTTTTTAATTTTTGATATCTAAAAAATCAGGTTAATACAATTAAACAATCAACATATTAATTGATAGAATCAATCATCAATTAAAAAACTAATACAAAAATCAAACGGTTTAAAATATTTTTACAATTAGAAAAATAAATTTGCAAAACATATGATAAAACTGTGCTTACTTATTAGTGAAATCTAAAGATTGGTGACACTTTGAATTACATAGCAATTGGTTTTTGCGACAAGCACACCTATTTGTGGTACATTTAGATTTGCAGTCATATCTTCCGAAACCCTGCCCAGTACCAAGGGATTGTTTTATTGCTGTTTGACAAAAATATTTCTACAGCAGGGACATCTTTCATTAAAAATCTCTCTTTGCAAACACTGCATTCAGATTTTGCATACAATTGTTTTAAAATACCCGTTGTAGTACCAAGTTTATAAAAGCCATCCTCTGTTTTACTAAGAACCACAGCTAAAACTGAGCATGCATCAGTTTTTGCTCTGTCTTCTTTGGGTACTTTAATTCTTACAGTGACACCTTCATCGACATTTGGTGCATTGAACTGCTAACATTTTCTTTGCTTGCCTTTCTAAACATTTCTTGGCTTCATCATGCTGTATTTTCTGATCCATATTCTTTTCACAGATGTTGCACAATACATTCTTACCATATCCTTCCTCTTTAGGATCTACTTCACCACAAACTATGTGAACAAACATATCACATGATTTACACTTGTGAGCACTTGATGCTGCTTTTGAGCAAACAATACAGACTATGTCTTGTATAGTGCTCTTTACAGTCTCTGTGCGAAACTGTGATGGCAATTCTGCTGTAACTCAGTGATGACTTCAACTTGCAGAGGTGATTCCTTGAAGGTGCAGGGTAACTGAACATTCCTCAATCAACAGTGTAGAAGGCAGTTTGGGATTACTATTGATAAATTCTTGTATTTCAATAGGTGATTCTGTAGAAGCAGGGGATAAAGGAATGTCATATTGAGTAAGATTTGACTGTTATCCGATAATCACAGTCTCTTGTGAATCTTCTAATTTTTCAAGGTCTTCTTCAGTATTTATCGAATGTAATACACTTTGTGGTATAATAGAAGAAGACAATCCCACTTTTGCGGGACAACTGAACATGGCTTCATATGGACTTCTTTTAACTGCAGAATGATAGGCACGATTCTTCATGAATTGTACAAATTGTACGCCCTCACTCCACTTGTTAGTTTGGCTATCAGTCATCCAAGTAGTTAGCATGTTTTCAATGTCTTGATTAGCTCGTTCTAAACTTCCTTGACTTTGGCTGTGTCTAGGTTTACCATTAACCGTTTTGATTTCTGGCCACAACTGTGTTACACATTCTAAGATTTTATTACAAAATTCACGTCCGTTATCAGAATGCAAAATACTTGGAGCGCTAAAAAGGAGAAAAATATCCAGCAAGTTATATGCTACTTCATTCACCCGTTTTGATGTGAGCGGCTTCAATACAACAAATTTTGTTAAGTGATCTTGGTATATGAGAAGAAACTTAAACTTTCCATCTGGTTGAGATTGGTAATCGATGAGATCCACCTGGCATCTGCTATTGAAATGCGATGAAATAATCGGCTTTACAACAAGCCCTTTTTTCGCACTTTTTTGTTTTTGTTGACAAGGTTCGCATAAATCCAAAAACATTTTTATTTGGGCTTGGGTTATGTTTTTATAAAATGTTTTTTTAATCACTTGATCATTCTGTCTCTTCCACCGTGGCCAATTGACAAATGAGTCGAATAAAATATGTTAAACAATTCTTCGTCATGAACAAATTTTTTCACACTTTCTAGCATATCTGACAACGGTTCAATAAGTTTTTAACAGCCAACACATCATACCTTGAATTATTCAATAATCTCGAGATGATTCTTTCTTCTTGGAAACTTTTATTCACTTTACATCTTTAATTATGGAATCATACTTTCATTTTGTCATTAAAACACTATTATATTTTGAATCTTCGCTAAAGAGGTTTGCGAAGAATCTTTTCTTTATTTTACTCACCAATTCGGTGCTTGCTTGCATACTAGGAGTTAAATTTATCTGCTTTAAAAAAATCCTGTCACAAATTCACACACTAACAAAGAGAAACGAATTTGAAAACAGAATTAGCTATGCAATGCACTGGCAGCCGACACAAATTATGAGAAATAAAAACAATTGGCGATGACAAGACGCTGGCGAAACCGAATTAAAAGTGGAGGGAGACAGGAAAGGAGTAGGGAAAGAAACTGAGAGAAACAATCTTTTGAACTTTAACGATTTGGAACCCGTTAATATGCAGATTACCTAGGTAAAATGCTGAAAACTCTTAATTCCGCATGTTCACGGATCATCTTAGTTAATCTGGAGATTAGCTAGGTAATGCACACATTAACGGCTTTCGAGGTTTAGCGGTAACATATATTTTTTTGAAAATATAGTGGTCAAGTTGAGTAGACAATCTATATACTTGATTAATTTAATTTAACAGCAATAAATTCTAAAGTAAGTTTTGTCTATTCAAGCTTCAAATATTACTGTTTAACAAATGGTGCACAATCTTCTACAAAGATTTTTTTTTAATTTAGAATATTCATTAACAACAATTAGGAATTCTATGTTAGAACTGTACATTGACAGTTCCTGAAATAAACTATGTTTTATTAAAGAAAAATTCTTTGTTTATAGTAACTTTTGTTGTTACAAGATATTACAAACATGTAGATTTCTACATTATGATTTCTTTACATCAATACTTTAATATTAATCATGATTCTCTGAGAAACAATATACTTGGTGCATTAATTTATGCCATTTGATTTTAGGAATGTGAAGAGAGAAGTTAAAGAATAAAAGAATGTATTCTAAAAATTCAGAGAAAATTTTCTAAAATTTACTATTGCAAAATGTATTATTTTCAGCAGAAAGAAAGAATAGTAAATAAAACTCAATAACAACTTTAGATGTATAAACAAAATATTTTACCTTTGAAAGGAGTAGAAATGTTTTGGGAACATTACAACATTAAACAATCTATAAATGATAAAAATATTTTAAACACTTCTTCAAATTCTAATTGGATGACTTAGCACATAAAATCTCACTAACTTCAAAACCTTTTCCACCAATTCTAAAAGTCAAACATTCGAAAGATGACAATTTTGACAACTGCTAAACTAATTCTGGAGATTAGTGAGATTTCATGTAAATGATAAAAATATATAAATAGTGCTCCACTGTACATTAAACTTATATGAGTAAGATGTAATTTTAAAATTACACTATTCTACTAAATATAAAATACATACTTCTAATTCTAAAAAAGAACCAAGATTTTCAACTTTATCCAAATGAACACGTGTATTGTCAATCAAGTATAATAATCTCTCTTTTTTCACAATTCCACGAAGTCCTAATGCTTGGCTTAGTACTTCCTATAGAACAAATAGAAATAATAGTTAGCTTATTATTATTGAAATATGTAAATTTTAAAAAAAGCAAAGAAATTAAAATTTGCAAAACTAAAATTAGATTAGATATATATAAACTAAAACAGATATATATTATAATTGCTGCTTTATGTTAGACTTACGTTGCAGCAATTAGACTTAATTACAACCAATCACCGTGGACAAATCACTGTAAGGAATTCGGATGCACAATTAACAAAAAAAGTGTAAAAATAATACGTAAAGAAAAAGACAGTTACCTACGAAAATTCAAAGAGCATTTTGAAATTGTTAATAAAAGCAAAACCATAAACTTAAATGATGGAATGGAGGTTGACAACGTGTGGAAGGAAATGGGAGGAGCTAAAGGGAAAGAAAACAAAAAGAGGGGAAAACGGTCTAAAAATGCCTTAGGGGACACAACATCAACACTGGGCAGATGTGGGTCTTAACTTAAAAACAGATTAGTTAACTATTGTATAAATATATCCAAATAACTATTGTTTGTAATTTACTGTAAAAACAAATGTAATAATTAAAATTTACCAATATATAGAAATGTAAAATAACCTGAAGAGGGGTGCAAGTGATACGAAAATATTGCACCCGAAATGCATAGTAAGTAAGAAAATAAAGAATACGAAGATAAGCTATTGTCTCTGATTAAACGCGGTCCAGGCAAAAAAACGGTGGTTATTTCTGAGAATTAACCCATGAAGTTTTCATCAATTTTTTGAGGAAATATTTTTGAAAAATTGATTTTAAAAGGAATATAAAATTCTTTTGTTATTCTGTAAGATGATATTAAATAATTATTTATAAGATTCTTTATTTAAATACTTGTCTATAGAGAAATTTGATAATCAGATATAGGTATACCTCGCCTTACGTGGGTAATTGGTTCCAGGAGAGGCGACGTAAGTCGAATTTACTTGTCTCCGAATCTACTTGTCATTAGGCTAAACCATAAATTACCATTCCCGGTTCTGTATTTTATTTATTAATGCATTTTTAATAATATATGGTTAATAAGGATCTATTTTAAGCTTACAAACAAATAAATTTTAGTTTTTAATATAGTACAGAAAAAAGTAATCTAAATTTACGAATGCATGTACTGTAAATACAGTACATACTTGTAAATGTATATATTTTAATATGATTTTATGTGCTTTAAACACTTTTCTAGTGATATTACGACTTCAATATTTGTGGCGGACAGACGTAAAGTCGAATAAAATGACTTAAACTTGATTTTTATTTTTCCATATACTTTTTTGACAAACGATGTATAATCGGGAACAATGTAACTTGAAACGATGTAAGTCGAGGTATACCTGTATTCAGTTTTTGATTTCAAATATAATTTCATTTATAATTTTCTGGATACAATTAAGCTAATTAAATTAATTAATTATCTGTCAGTCAAAATTTTCCAGTTATCATTTTCCATTTGTTAAAAATTTAATAATTAATAAATTTGAGTTAATTCAATTATTCCAAAAGCACATCAAAAATTAGCATATCAAAAAATATATTCCAGAAGCAGGATTCAAAACCACAACTAAACATGTCCATATTCTCAAGAAAAATTATAAACTTTAATATACCTAACCTTAAAAAAGAAAAAAATTCTTAAAAAGGACAATGATTATTTTCTAATACCAAAATTTAAAAATAAACAAGTTTCTCTTTGTTCTCTAATTGCAAAGTTGTTCATTTATAAATATACTCATAAAAAAATTTACATTAATAACTTACAATCAAAGAATAATCTAAATATAAAAATTACAAACCATCTACAATTACAGAAAACTTGTATAGTTAAACATCTTTAGAATTTATAATTTATTATCAAACAAATAAGCAACAGAAATAAAATATTCTATTTTCTAAAAATCTAGGATGAAACACATCTAAAATTATTACAAATCAAAGATTAAATACAAAAAATCTTAAGTCCTTCACACCAATAGGAACACAACTGGTAGAATTGACGTTTTAGATATAAAAATTTATTCAAAATACCTGCAATTTGTCACAATTTTGTCAATTATGCTAAGTGCTGATGGCACAGGATCAAATTCTTATCTGATTCTAATCAGAGGCTGGTCTGAACTGCATAATTGCAAGTTTTCACTGTTCAAATGAAAAATTGTTGTTTACTGTTATGATTCTTACAGAAAATCAACACTTATTCCTAAATCAGATTCAGTGATAAATGTTCTATCAAATGTGCAAAAAAAAAATCTTCAATTTTTAATTTCGTACACCAAGGCATGGTTTTTAAGACTATAATTGTAGGAAAACAGCAGCAATCCAATACAACACAATCAAAGTTTCAATTCACACTTTGTAAGCTTTGTTGCTTAGTCATTGTGACAGAATGGTACATATTCAAGATTTGGCACATTGGCTCCATTCTATTCTGGAAATATATAAGACACAAAAGCTTCTTTGATATGATAATGCAACAAAGCTTACAAAATGTAAATTAAAACTTTGATTATGTTGTATTAGATTATAATTGTAGGAAAACAGAAGCAGTCTTATAAGTCATATTTTGGAGTAACAAATTAAAAACTGAGGATATTTTTGCACCATTTGACAGAACATTTATTCCTAAATCAGATTCAATGATAAGTGTTTTTATCACTAAAATTAATTTAAAAGAAAATTTAATTCAAATTTTCTGTACAATTGCCAGTTTCCAGATTATATCAAGCTGTAATAAGGATATTATTTAGTTTTTCCTATATACAAGATATCAAAAAGCACATACTTTTGGAGAATAATGAGTGTCTCAAAATGAACAATTCAAATGGACCTTTAATGGAAAATCATGAAAAAAGATCTGATTGTATGGCTCCATTATGTAAGCACTGATTTAGTTCATGTAAAAAAACAGCTTATAACTGAAAAAAACTCATTTCTATCTGACTGTATTATGCAATTTTCATCTGAATAATTTCATCTGAATAATAAGAACAATTATAGCATTTCTATCATCAGAAAGAAAACAAACTGTGATTCATTGTTTACATTAAAAAAGTTGAGAATGTTGTATTTCATTAAAATAAAAGAATTCTGAAAACCAAACAAGAATAAGATTTTATTTTAAATAAAGATATTATTTGTTGGAGAGCAGTTTCAGTATTTCTACAATAATTCTTGTATATAACTGGTTGAAAAAACTAATTACTAAAACTTAAAATTTATTCGTTAATTGCTTCAACAAGAACTTTGAGAAAATTGATTTTGAGATAAATATATACACTGCTGGACAAAAAGTGAAGTTGCTTTATGAGTGTTACACTTTTTCTGTCTAATAGTGATTTTAAGTGTAGAAATAATTAATATTCATTTATTCAAGTTTTTTTCCCCTCAGCTTTTATTATTTTGAAGATCTCTGAAAAAATTTTCTTGTGATCACTAAAAATGTAATAATGAGTGGGAATTGACTCCTTACAAGAGTAAAATTTCAGTAATCTGACATATGTGGAAGTGGAGCAGTGTTGGATTAAGAAGATTGCCAGACCATTGGGAGTAAGATGAATTCAATGGTACATAAATGAGTTGATATTAATAATGCCGAAAGCATAAATTGGGCTACTCAACTCATCAAAACATCTAAGTACATTGATGTTACTAGTAGTCACTGTTTGAGTTGGTGGATTCCACTAAATTTATTAGGAAATTCAAATAGCTGTGGAAAATTTAATGGGAAGTACAGTACAGTATTTTTTATGGGAAATTTTGGGAGACATTTTTATATTTATACAGTATTGTGTTGTAAGATACTGTATCTTTTTTAGCAGCCTATGACAATAAAGTTAACAATCTCTAATAATGTGCCCAAGATAGAACCATCAAGCTTGGACTCAGCAGCATCCCACATTTCGTGAGAATTAAATTTGAACTAGTATGAAGCTTGAGTTAAAATTGAAAAATGGCTGAAAGTGTTTACATGTTAAAAATATACATTGAAGAAATGAAAATTGTCTTCTTAAAACTCTCATTTTCACCAGGAACAAAATTTTTCACCATAGAGATAATTTGTTTCTTCAATGTATAATTTTAATCAACCTACTTTAAGTTTTGGAATTGCCACCATAACTTATTAATGATGATTTTAAGATGACAATTTAAGTTTCACCAGTGTATTTTTTTTTTAAAGTGGGAAGCTTGTTTATGACTTGGCAACATGCTGGTAATACCTAAGAGTCAACTAGTGTTGGAGTACTCATTGTGTCGAAGTAGAAAATAGCCAGGATCTCAAATTTAGACATTCAATAGTTACATTTTACCATAGTTACATTTAGACATAAAATGTAAGAAATCATTTATATTACATTTTGTGAGAAAATGAAAATACTGTATATTATTAACATACATTCAAACCATAAGTCTCATTAAACTAAAACTAAACAATGAAAAATGATGAGATGACTGCTACGCCTATCCCTTGATTTATTTAAAAATTAGCTTTTTTTATAAAATAAATAATCTCATAAAATTTAGCAGTTTGATTATCATTTGAATGTATCATACTTCCATAATTCTAAGATTGTTTTTGACAAGAAAAAATGGGTAAAAAAAACCAACACACTTTATAAATCAATACCTTCTTATATTTGCAATCCAGAATAATTATCAGAAGTCATTGCAAGAAGACTACATAATGCATTGCACAAATAATAGATACTGTTGGTTATACTGATCAACAGGAACATCAGTTTAAATAACAAGCATTTCATATGACAAAATACAAATATAAACATCTTTAAGCCTGATAATTATATTAAAGCCAAATGATCCATCAGATTAGATATCTGCATTAATAGTTCTGGAAGCAAAGATCAAATGAAAATCAGGTAGTGTAACTGGCAATGCATCTGCACAGTAAGGAGAAGTTGCAGGTTAAAGCCTCACTCCAGGCCAATTTTCTTCTTTCAGAACCTTCTAAATTAATTAATAAATATTAA